GAGGAGGAGGAGATTGGGCGGCCAGGAAGGGAAACGAGAGAGCATGAACGCGCGTGTCATGGCTCCATTTTGGGTGGCAGAGTTTGAGTTTCAGCAAAGGAACCGGGAAGATAAACAAACCTTCGAGGGCAGCCAACTGGATGGGGTGTGGGGAGAGGCAAAATCTTTGCCCAGTGCCAGTACACCCTGGAATAGCCAGGGAGAGGTGGGCATCTCATTCAAAGCTGTCTGCTGCCCACGAACAGGCACCACTCCTGGCTGGTCTAGGCAAGGGCCCAAGGGCCCCGCCGCTCCCTGACACAGCCAGAAAGGAAAGCACACAGATGGAGCTGCTGCAGAGAAGAATGAGGAGGAGGAGGAGGGGAAGAAGAAGAAGAAAAAGAAGAAGAAGAGGAGGAAGAGGGGAAGAGGAAGAAGAAGAGGAGGAGGAGGAGGAGGAAGAGGAGGAGGAAGAGGAGGAGGAGGAGGAGGAGGGAAGAAGAAGAAGAAAAAGAAGAAGAAGAGGAGGAAGAGGGGAAGAGGAAGAAGAAGAGGAGGAGGAGGAGGAGGAAGAGGAGGAGGAAGAGGAGGAGGAGGAGGAGGAGGGAAAAAGAAGAAGAAAAAGAAGAAGAAGAGGAGGAAGAGGGGAAGAGGAAGAAGAAGAGGAGGAGGAGGAGGAGGAGGGAAGAAGAAGAAGAAAAAGAAGAAGAGGAGGAAGGGAAGAGGGAAAAAGAAGAGGAGGAAGAGGGGGATTTATACCCTGCCCCTTCACTCAGAGTCTCAGAGTGGGGAAGAAGAGGAAGAGAAAGAAGAAGAGGAGGAGGAGGAGGAGGGGAAGAGGAGGAAGAACGAGGAGGAGGAAGAGGAGGAAGAGGAGGAGGGAAAGAAGAAGAAAAAGAAGAAGAGGAGGAGGGGGAAGAGGAAAAAGAAGAGGAGGAAGAGGGGAAGAAGGGGAAGAACGAGGAGGAGGAAGAGGAGGGAAAGAAGAAGAAGAAAATGAAAAAGAGGAGGAGGAGGGGAAGAGGAAGAGGAAGAGGAGGAGGAGGGGAAGAAGAAGAAAAAGAAGAAGAGGAGGAGGGGAAAAGGAAGAAGAAAAAAGAAGAGGAGGAGGAGGGGAAGAGGCGGAAGAACGAGGAGGAGGAAGAGAAGGGAAAGAAGAAGAAAAAGAAGAGGAGGAGGAGGGGAAGAGGAAGAAGAAGAGGAAGAAGGAGGAGAAGGAGGAAGAGGAGGGAAAGAAGAAGAAGAAGAGGAGGAGGAGGGGAAGAGGAAGAGGAGGAGATTGGATTTATACCCCGCCCTTCACTACTCAAAGGAGTCTCAGAGCGGCTCACAATCTCCTTTGCCTTCCCCTCCCCACAACAGACACCCTGTGATCAATGCTCCCTCCAAGCTGAGTTAGTGTGAGTGAGCTCACAGTTTTTTAGCCTCCCGCTCGCCTATTTTTGCCTTAGCTCAGGAAGGATGGCTCCAGAGCAAACTAATTTCTGCAGTAGCCAAATCGCTGGCTCACCACTTTAATGCCAGTAGTAGCTCACAAAGTAGGATTTTTGCTCACGAGACTCCACAGCTTAGAGGTAGCATTGCCTGTGAGGCAGGTGGGGCTGAGAGAGCTCTCCCGAGAACTGCTCTCGAGAGAACAGCTCTGAGACAACGTGTGAGTGACCCAAAGTCACACCAGCCGCTGCATGTGAAGGACAGGGGAATCAAACCTTGACCCCATTATTCTGTAATTGGGTTCAGTGGGAGAAAAGGTCCCGCTACGGCCTTTGGGGAAATGGACCCTTTCCCCAAGCAGTCCAGCTGCAGGGCAGGCTAGAAGAGGGCGCGTCTCGAAGAACTGGTCGGCACGGCCAAGTCGCAGCAGAGCCGACTGGGCTTGCAGAGGCCGTGAGGGTCCGTCCCGGGGCTCGGAGTCGGAGGGGGGACGCCCAAGGCCGAGGGGACCCCAGAGCTGGAGATGCACCAACTCACCGTGTTCACGGCGCTATCCTTGCGCCGGTCGGGGATCTCGGACTTGTTGGGATTGTTTGCGCTGCTCACCATGGGGCTGGAGGGTGGGATGCCGCGTCCGCTGCTCACGACGCTGCAGCTGGCCTTGCGCGAGGGCATCCGCTCCTCCTTCAGCTCGCCGTCCCCGGTGCTGGTGGGGCTCCGCTTGGGGTGAACGGGAACGGAGGAGGGACCGCCTGCCGGGGGAAACGGGGTGGGGGGGGAGAGAGAGAGAGACCGGCGGTGTGAGCTCAGTTTCTACGCCGAGGGGTCCCTGGCCTTTTTGAGTCTGTGGGCATGGAGATACTGGAGGCTTTTTGTCATCTTCTGGGCGTGGGGCAGGGGTCACTGCGGGTGCGGGGAGAAGTTGTTTGTGAATTCCCTCCATTGTGCAGGGGGTTGGACTAGGTGACCGTGGAGGTCCCTTCCAACTCTATGACTCTATGATTTGGGGACAGGACCTGTGGGGGAAGATGTTAATAGGTCTGTACTGTTGTGTATAGACTGCTGAAACCAGGATCTCACTAGGGAATGTCACGTCATTTAATGTGCCATGTTCATACTTCTGCTCTGCTTCAATTATGTTTTTAGAATTCTGGCTGCTTCTATAACCCTAATCGTACTGCGCTGTTTATTGAATGCCCCACCCATCAGTTGCCTGGACTCACTCTGTGTAATCCGCCTTGAGCCCAAGCAAGAAAGGTGGACTACAGACAACATTGACAAATGAGTAAATAAATTTTCCTAGCCACTGAAGGGGAAAGAACTTTGTGGGTCAGCCCTGCTCATGGTATGGACCTTCCAGATCCTTCCAGCTGCTAAATGACATTCAAGAGAACTGTCTTTGGCTCAACGCCTGAGAAGTCAGAGGCAGATACGATGCCACAGCGCATCATCCCAGATCAAGCTCAAGGCCTGAACAGGCCACAGAGCAGCTCCTGCGCTGCACCATGGTTAGCGGAGTGGGTGGACACAGCAGGAGAGAACCCAAGCACAGAGCCTGCCACAGCTGCTTTTCCTTGAAGGGTGAGGCTTGAGAAAAGGCACTCGCCCGGTTACCCTGGCAAAGCCAATATAATTTCCTGGCAAAGAGGAATCTGAAAACGCAAGAGGAGCTTAGTGTTTGGTTTCTTTCCAGCCACTGATGTGCCAGAAATTACTCTGTAAGGCCATGTGGGGCTAGAACAGGGGTCCCCAGGCCCATAGCTATGGTGGGGCTTTTTGGGGCTCCGCCCCCTTTCTTAAAGACACAGCCCCACAAGGATTTCTCCTGCAAATGCTTTTTTCAATCATTTCAAAACATTTTTTTCAAGGCGTGTGCTCCTTTAAGCAGAGTGGGGTGCTGTCGTTGACAAATTCCCGCACTGAGCAAGGAGGTTGGAGTAGGTGACCTCTAGGATCCCTTCTAACTCTGTGTCAAGAAACTGTTCTCCATTAAGAGAGTTTTTCTGCCTAAGTGTGAGCTTTCTCTGCTGGCTCGTTCTCAGAACTGTTGCTTGGGCTGGCAGAAGTGATTAACATGCAGCAGCTGAGAACTGTCGTCTAAAGCGGTTGACAGCTTGCAGTTTCCTGGTCACAGCTTTCTATTGGCTAAAGGGCTTTCCTTTCTGCACTGAGAATTTCGGCCCCGCCAGCAAAAAAACTGCCCCACAAGCCACAAATTCCTGGCTATGGGCCTGGGATTCCCTTCCAACCTTCCTGAGCCTGTGGGCACCTCTGGAGTTCCAACGCTGCGCGATGGACGCAGCCTCAAAAAGGCTGCCACAGGAGCAGGAGCCAGCCACAAAATGGCTGCCGCAACTTACCTCCAATCGAACATTAGAAGAATCTTGTGCTGTGGTGGCTACTGCTGCCAAAGCAATGTTGTTGTTTTTTTAAATCTGCACAGCCGATCATATCTCCAGTGGCCGGTCAGACGCTGTCATGATCTGGGCTGTGCCACCAGAGGCCTACTAGGCCCAGTGAGCCTGGCTAGCAGTAGGGGAGGCTGGGCCTACAAACCCCAGAAGGTCTTGGGAAGTTTTGGCGCCGATTTTGACCAATAGGGAAGAAGAGGGCTGGGAATAAAAGAACTGGTGCAAGAGAAAAAGCAGTTCTTCTTCCCAGGGAACAAAGCCAGAAGAGAGGCTGCTGTGGGGGAGAGACCCTCATCCTGGGGGAAGGGTGAGTAGTCTAAGGCCACTTGAGATAGTGAGCTAGGGACAGTATATTCAGAAACGTTAGGGCATTTGATTTCTTTTCTTTTCACCCACTTACTGTTATTATTCCTGCACCTTGTTTGTTTGACCTCCTATAAAATAAACCTTTTCCTTGTTGTACTCTGCCTGGTCCTCACGCCTATTATTCGGCCAAAAGGGAGGTCTGAAGGTCTTGGGAGGGTGCTCTGGGCCTTCCCAAGGGATCCTAAATCCAGAGTGGTGGCAGCATCAGGTGACATCCCAACTGAGCTCTGACAGTTGCCTTGCTGGGCAAAACCTCCCCCCCCCCCATTTCCACGCATTTTCTAGAACTGTGTCGGCACATGCCATGCTTGGTACCCCTGGGCTAGAGACTTGCTCGCCAGATCAGAAGCAGACCCCCGAGCTGACCCCCGGGGCTGTGTGGGTGGTGGCAGAAGGAGGACGCTCCAGGCTAGGGCCACGGGTGGGGCCGGAGGACCGGCGTGTCACTCACAGAAGTCACTATGCCGCCGCTGTCGGTGGTAGGTGGAGGAGCTACGTTGGCTCTTGGTGTGCGAGGAGGCCTTGCTGGTGCCGTTGGAGACCTCACTGGGCGCCCGCACCCGGGCCAGGGAGAGGCTGCTGCCCGTCCGCGACTCGCCCCCTTCCACCTGCTGGGAGACACAGAGGTTGTTGGGAGCCCAGTTCCCGGGGGGTGGGAGAGGAGGGGAAGAGAGTGTCACTGGGGTCGGGTGGGGCAGGTGAGCTGGCCAGCGAGGCTGCACCGGGACGCGTGGTCTAAAGCCGCTTTGGAAGGGGATCTCTTCCGTGATCTCCCCCGGACACCAGAAGAGCATGTCCGGCTTTTGGTTTCATCCAGGGGGCAGCCACATGCCTTAGAAGGACCACGAGAAGAGCCCAGAAGCCACAGCCTTTACCGGTTCAACCCCAAGCATCTCCCCCACAGAGACATTCTGCCTCTGAACACGGAGATTTCTGCTTGCTCACTGTGGCTAACAGCCCCTGATGGACCTCGTCTCCGTGAAGCCGTCTAACCAATGCTCCCTCTAAGCTGTGGAGTCCTGTGAGCAAAAATTCTACATTGTGAGCTCCGGGTAATAAAGTTGTGAGCGAGCCATTTGGCTACGGCATAAATCAGTTTGCTCCGGAGCCACCCTTCCTGAGCGAAGACAAAAAGGTGTGAGCTGCGGGCTAAAAACCTGTGAGCTAGCTCACACTGACTCAGCTTAGAGGGAAGACTGCGTCTAAACGCCCCCCCCTCAACCAGGGGCCACCACTTACATCCAGTGTGACAGTGCATCCCACAAGTTAACTGAGTGAAGAATTCCCTTCCTTCCGTCAGCCCGGAATCTATTGCCCATCAACTTCTCCGGCTGCCGCTGAGTTTTAGTGGTTATGGGGAGGGAGAAGAGGCTCTCTCTCCCCACTTTCTCTGCGCGTGAACGTAACAAGCCTCTCTTGTGTCCCCACTCTGGAACCTCCAAGCGCCTTCAGCCAGGGATCCCCAAGGGCGCAGCAAAGGAACAGCCGCCATAAAATGGCGGCTGCAGGAGGCGGGGCCGGCCACCAAACGATTGCCGCAGCTTAACATTTTTTTAATTGTGTTTTTCATTTTTTATTAAGTAATTTTTATTAAGCTATATATTGAATTTTAATGCTTTTGTATCTTTTATGGCATCATGCCTTGCACATCGCCCAGAGCCCAGTGCAAACTGGTATAGGGCAATTAATAAATTATTATTATTGCTACTGCTACTACTACTACTACTACTACTACTACTACTACTTTATTTATTTTATTTGTTTGATTTGTATCCCGCCGTCCCTGCCAAGGCGGGCTCAGGGCAGCTTACAGGCCTGTATACATAGTAAAACACAGAATATTTTAAAACAGATAAAACAGTTAAAACCATCACAATTACAAAGTGCTAGCAAATACAGGTAATAGGCGATGGTGGCCTTATTATTATTATTGATAATTTCAGGGGTCATTTCCTGCAGGAGCGCACAGGAGCAGAGCTCCAGCAGTAAGGAGCCCAGGGGGTGTGGCACATGCAGCAAGCCCCGCCCCCTGTTCCCAGCAGCCCTTAGTCGGGCCACAAGGAGCAAGAAGCAATGGAAGTTGCAGAGCCCCCGCCTTCAGGTACAAGCTCTTCCTCCTCTGCGTGCACAGCTCTGCACGTCCCCCCCCCCAATAGCTAGCAATTCAAAAGAGTCCAGTGGCACCTTTAAGACCAAGTTTTATTCAGGTACAAGCTCTCCCTCCTCTGCGAGGACAGATCTGCACGTTCACCCCACCCCCATAGCTAGCAATCCAAAACAGTCCAGTGGAACCTTTAAGACCAAGTTTTATTCAGGTACAAGCTCTCCCTCCTCCGCGAGGACAGATCTGCACATCCCTCCCCCCAATAGCTAGCAATCCAAAAGAGTCCAGTGGAGCATGAGCGGTGGGTGTCGCCTTCTGACACACTTCCGGTGAGGTCAGGGGGTGTGGCACATGCAAACGAGTTATGCTAATGAGTTATGCTAATGAGCTCCTGCACCTCTTTTTCTACAAGATGATCCCTGATTATGACGATGATGATAACAACAACAACAATGATAGTAACTGCAGTCACACAGTGCAGGTTCTCGTGCAGTTGCCAAAGCAACATTAAAAAAAACCCTGCACAGCCAATCAAATCCCCGATAGCCAATCAGACATCTTGCTGGGCAAAAGCCCTCCCTGGACCCGCCCCACTCCCTTAAAAAACACTCGGCGGGCAGCAGAAAAGGACCCCTGCATTAAGCTTTTTCCATGCAGGGAAAGCGCCCCCAAACCTCCTGGTCACGGTTGCCCGCTTTCCTAGCTCTGCGATGTCGTTCGCCTTCCACTGGGAAGTGGCCGGTCACGGTGAGGCCTCCCCCGCCACACACTGCTCCTGGATCAGCCGGAACTTAGGAGGGGGCTCCTCTCCTTCTCATGGGGTTTTTTTTTATGCAGCCGCTCTGCTCTCCGCCCTCGCCCCCCCTCCCGGCCTACACCGCAGGCCGCGTCCCAGCAGCGGGCCTCACCTCGTTCTTCCTGCCCAGCAGGAGGTAGGTGGCCGTGACCTCGTTGTATTTTTGGTTGGTCAGAGCTTCTTTGATCTCGTCACGCGTGTACCCCATGCCCACCATCACTTCTGGAGACGGCCGGAGTGGGGGGGGGGAGAGGGGAAGACAGAAGGAAACAGGTGACCAGGCAGGCGAGGCGGATCTGGGTGCTGCTGAACGAACTGCACGTCCCTAACCCCTTCCCCACTCAGGCGACTGGGGCACAGACGCCCCCGTGCCCTTTTTAGGGTCATACGGCGCCAGGCCCGTCAGCAGAGGCACCCAGGTTTCCCGCTCCTCCCAGCCAGGGGTTCACGCGCACCAGAGCACACACGCACGCACCGATGCGCTTGGCATCTGCAAAGTCCTCCTCCGGCTCTTTGTACGGCTTCAGCTCGTCTCCCTCGTAGCCGATATTGATCCACTTGTCCTTCATAATTTGCTGGGGAAAGGGCAAAATGCGGAGAGGTCAGTGAGGGGGCAGGGCCTAGAGAGAGGAAGTTTCCGGAAACGCCCGGAAGTCTTGGGAAGACATGGAAATCTGGGAGCTGGGACGGAAGACCCGAAATGTGCGTGACGCTCCCTTTCCTGTCCAGCCGAATGTTATTTCACTGGTTTAGCCACGTAAAAGGCATCGTTTATAATTTAGTTAGCCTATCAAGTGAGCCCATTTGGCTCTTTTTTTGTTTGGAAATTTAAAAATGTCACATGCTTCCTTCAATGGGTTGGGAAGAAACTGGAGATTTTGTGGGTGGAAGGCCAGGGAAGGCGGGGTACACATCAGTGAAGCATAATACCACACAATCAACCTTCCAAAGAAGAAGAAGAGAAGAGATTGGATTTATACCCCGCCCTTCACTACCCAAAGGTGTCTCCGAGCGGCTTACAATCTCCTTTCCCTTCCCCTCCCCACAACAGACACCCGGTGAGGTTGGCGGGGCTGAGAGAGCTCTTTTGAGGACTGCTCTTGAGAGAACAGCACTGAGAGAACTATGGCTTGCCCAAGGTCATCCAGCAGCTGCAAGTGGAGGAGGAGTGGGGAATCAAACCCGGTTCTCCCAGATTAGAGTCCGCGCACTTCACTACGACACCAAGCAGCCATTTTCTCTAAGAAGGCTGAATTCTGTCGCCTGGACATCAGTTCTGACCCTTTGAGGTCTCCAGGCCACACGTGGAGGCTGATGAGCTGTGACCACTGTGCCCTGCTACCTTAGAAGCCAGATCTTAATTTCTGCCATCTGACAGGCAGGAAAACATAGGGGTTGAAAACAAATATTGCTGTGAGCAAAAGAAAACATGCCATTTGGACAAAGCCCGTCTCACACAGCCCCTATCGGACCAGCAGTCAATTTGGATGGACAACACATCAATTATTCCCATTTAAAGCGATTCAACGTGCCCTTGAGAACAGGCAGGCTGTCTGCGCCGATGGTGTACATGGGAAGCAATGTCGTTATTGAACGCTGCAGTTTATTTAACATAGAACACTTCCAGGCTGTATATTTTGAGTGAGCGAAGCCTTCTTTTGAAACAGGTTGTCTTTAAAAAAAAATCTTAATTCATTCCGAAAGAGGATCTATTTCAGAGGTTGGGAACGTCCCGGGGGGGGGGGGACTCGCCTCCAGAGGGTGGGCAGCTCTGGCTTGAGAAATGCCTGGTAGGTTTCGGGTGTTGGAGCCTGGGGAGGGACCCTCAGAGGCGGCACAAGGCCCTAGACACCACCTTCCCCAGCGGCCATTTTCTCCAGGAGAACTGATCTCCGCCACCTGGAGATCAGCAGTAATCCTGGGAGATCTCCAGGCCCCACCTGGAGGTTGGCAACCCCTCTACAGGGCTCCAACCAGCCTGGGGAACACTGCCTCTCATCTCCAAAGATAACTCAGTGGCGAGAGAAAGGCACTCAGTGTGTTCTCAGGGGCACTCTTGACTACATCGCAGGACTTGCTCCTAGCCCGATCCTGCCTGTACATACATGGAGGGAAGGGAAAGGGAAGAAGAAGAAGAGGAAGAGGAAGAAGAAGAGGATACCCCGCCCTTCACTACCCAAAGGAGTCTCAGAGCAGCTTACAAACTCCTTTTCCTTTCCCCTCCCCACAACAGACACCCTGTGAGGTGGGCGGGGCTGAGAGAGCTCTTTTCAGAACTGCTCCTTTTCAAGAACAGCTCTTGTCAGAGCTATGGCTTGGCCAAGGTCATCCAGCAGCTGCAAGTGGAGGAGTGGGGAATCAAACCCCGGTTCCCCCAGATTAGAGTCCGCGCACTTCACCACGACACCAACCAAACCCTCCCCCAGGACTCTAAAAGGGAAAAAAAAACACTGCTGTACTCCCCCCCCCCCACTTCCCGGCAATTCTCTGCAGGAAAAGCCTGTGGAGCCACAGTGGGGGAGAGCAAGAGAGCGCATCCGAAAGAGCGCATCCACGTATGCCACATGGGGGCGCATAAAGATTCCCTGACACATCGTATAATTATCCATGAGTGGATTAGGCAAATTACAGTCCTCCGAGGGAGGGGGGGCGCACGCGGAGCGTGGAGGGAGGGGAGGCCGTGGGCAGGGCCGGATCCCACGGAGACATTAGCTAATTAAAGCCCTCCTTGCAAGCTTCCCGTAAGGGAAATGGGTTGGCGGCGGTGGAGCGCCCGCCTGGGAATGCCCGCGCCTGGCATCTCTCCCTGGGGAGGAGGGCCCGGGGCCATGCCCGGTGAAAGGGAATGAGCGATCTCTCCGGGAAGGCGAGACAGGGGTGGGGGCTCGTGAGGCAAAGACGCTCCCCCCCCCAGCACCCTCCCAAGGGTCTCCTCACCTCAAGGGTGCAGCGCTTGGCCGGGTTCAGGACCAGGAAGCGTCTCAGGATGTTCTCGCAGTCGGTGGACATGTAGAAGGGGACACGGTACTTGCCACGCAGGACACGCTCCCGCAGCTCCTGAAGGGGGCACACAGCACCGTCAGGTCACGGCCAAGGCTCCCCCTAAGCTGTGGAGTCTCGTGAGCAAAAATTCTACTTTGTGAGCGAGTGGCATTAAAGCCGTGAGCGAGCGATTGGGCTGCTGCATAAATCCGTTTGATCTGGAGCCATCCCTCCTGAGCGGAGACAAAAATGCGTGAGCTGGAGGCTAAAAAACTGTGAGCCGGCTCGCACTCACTCAGCTTAGAGGGAACACTGGCACGTGACTGCTCCCTCTAAGCTGTGGAGTCTTGTGAGCAAAAATCCTACTTTGTGAGCTGCCGGCATTAAAGCCGTGAGCGAGCGATTGGGCTGCTGCAGAAATTAGTCTGCTCTGGAGCCCCATCCCTCCTGAGTCGAGACAAAAAGGTGTGATCCGGAGGCTAAAAAGCTGTGAGCTGGCTCACACTGACTCAGCTGAGAGGGGACACTGGCCACAGCCACGTTTCCACGGGTGCCGCCTGCCTTCTGGCCACCCTCCCCTGCCAGCCCTTTTGAAGGAGACACCGAAAGGGGACGCTGAGTGCGGTGGCACCTCTCTCCAGCCCAGGAGGAGCCGGTCCCAGGTGGGCAGAGAGACGCCACATTCAAGGGCTCTCAAACGTCTCAAAGCTTCCTGTTCATTCATTGATTCCCAGAGAAAGGCCCCACGGCCCATGGATGTGAGGAACAAAGACTCTCAGAAACAGGATGTTATTTCTAAAAAGCAGTCCGGGGTGGGGAAAGTCCTGCCCTGGGGTGGCACAGACTAGCCCGGTCTCGTGTGATCTCGGAAGCTAAGCAGGGTCAGCCCTGGTTAGGACTTGGATGGGAGACCACCGAGGGAGTCCAGGGTTGCTACGCAGAGGCAGGCAATGACGGAACACCTCTGAATGTCTCTTGCCTTGACTTGGACGGCCCAGGCCAGCCCGATCTCATCAGATCTCGGAAGCTAAGCAGGGTCGGTCCTGGTTAGTCCTTGGATGGGAGACCGCCAAGGAAGTTGAGGGTTGCTATGCAGAGGCAGGCAATGGCCAACCACCTCTGTTCATCTTTTGCCTTGACCTGGATGGCCCAGGCCGGCCCGATTGCGTCAGATCTCAAAAGCTAAGCAGGGTCGGCCCTGGTTAGGACTTGGATGGGAGACCACCGAGGGAGTCCAGGGTTGCTACGCAGAGGCAGGCAATGGCAAACCACCTGTTCTCCCATACCTGGATGGCTCAGGCTGGCCCGATCTCATCAGATCTCGGATGCTAAGCAGGGTCGGCCCTGGTTAGTCCTTGGATGGCGAGAAGTTGAGGGTTGCTATGCAGAGGCAGGCAAGGGCAAACCACCTCTGTTCATCTTTTGCCTTGACCTGGATGGCCCAGGATGGCCCGATCTCATCAGATCTCGGATGCTAAGCAGGGTCGGCCCTGGTTAGGACTTGGATGGGAGACCACGGAGGGAGTCCAGGGTTGCTACGCAGAGGCAGGCAATGATGGAACACCTGTTTGCCCTTTCCTGGATGGCCCAGGGTAGCCTGATCTCACCAGATCTCAGAAGCTAAGCAGGGCCGTTCCTGGTTAGCACTTGAATGGGAGACCGCCGAGGGAGTCAAGGGTTGCTACGCAGAGGCAGGCATTGGCAAGACCACCTATGCACATCTCTTGCCTTGAAAAACCCCATGAGCGACAAGTTAGCTGCAGCTTGATGGCACTTTCCACCACCAGTTCGGGGGGCGGGGGGGAACCCTCCTCATGATCCCAGCGAAAGCGTTTGCAAGAAACCAAGCCACGGTTTTGTCCGCCCCCCCCCGGGCCCCAAATCCTTATTCCGCTTCTAGCCTGGATGCTCTGCGCTCGGCCTTTCTGCCTCCCGCACCCCCCCCCTTTCCCCGGCCCCCCCCCCAGCCTCACCTTGAGGTTCTGCCCATCGAAGGGCAAGGAGCCGCTGACCAGCGTGTAGAGGATCACGCCCAGACTCCAGATGTCCACCTCGGGCCCGTCGTACTTCTTGCCCTGGAAGAGCTCTGGGGCGGCGTAGGGGGGGCTCCCGCAGAACGTGTCCAGCTTGGAGCCCAGCGTGAACTCGTTGCTGAACCCGAAGTCGGCGATCTTAATGTTGGCGTCGGCGTCCAGCAAGAGGTTTTCGGCCTGTGCGCGGGGGGGGGAGGAAAGAGAGGAAGAACGCTCAGGGACCCACCCCACCCCCTACGGAAAGAGGACTAAAGATCTTCAGGGCTGCTCTCTGGGGCCAGCCCCAAGCCTAGGGCGGCTGGGAAGTTATTCCCGGACAACGGGCCCTGTGCACCGTGCCGCTGTTCGTCCCCAAGTGCTGGTGACTCTTCCAGCCCCTGGTGAGTCCACAGTGACTTGAGAGCTGGGAAATAGTTGTTTGCATTTCACAGATGGGAGAACTGAGGCTCCAAGAGGGGCACGGCGTGGAAGGCCGTGCTGTGGAGTCTGGAGCCAAGGCCGTGCTGTGGAGTCTTGAGCCCACCCAACTCCACAGCTCTCAAAGTAGCCGGAAGCAATGGTATTTCGGGCTGGGTGGGGGGCGGGCGCTCAGGGGTCTTCTTACCTTCAGGTCCCTGTGCACAATGTTCTTCTGATGACAATAGTGTACAGCTGAGACAATCTAGGGGGGGGAGGGACAGAAGGGGGGGGTCATGCACCTTTCGGGACAGGCCCGCAAGCGTCACGCCTGGCCAGGACCTCCAGAGAACTCCGCGAGGGGCCCGCCCGAGGCAAAGAGCGCAGAGGCCAAGCGGTCGATCCTTCCACTCCGGAGGCTGAGGCGGGGGATCAACCCCCGCCTGCAGGATTGGAGCAGGGACGGTCTGCTCTTCCCGCCAACCTCACGCCCCCCCCCGCCGGCCCGCTGTGAAGTCACACCCCCCCCCCGGTTCGCCCTCAGCCGTGGGGCCCTTCCCCGCACCTGTCTGAACTTGGCCCGGGCTTCTTTCTCCTTCATGCGTCCATGAGAAACGAGGTAGTCAAAGACTTCTCCTGCGAGGAGGGAAGAGAGGAGTGAGAAGCGTTTAGTGTGCCGTTCTGGAGGCCTCCCTGCAACAAGGATGTCGGCGGAATGGAGCCGGGTGCAGAGGAGAGCGACGGGGACGATCGGGGGGGGGGGGGCCGGGGGCCCAAGAGGGCCGCGGGGCTGAGGGACTTCTTGGGAATGTTGAGTTGGAGAAGAGGAGGAGGTTGAAGGGGGGACAGGATGGCTCTCTTGGAGTATCTGAAGGGTTGTCACTCAGAGGAGGGCAGGGAGCTGTTCCTGTGGGCAGCAGAGGAGAACGACTCGCAGGAATGGGTTTAAATGAAGGGCAGGAAGGGACCGGCTGGATCTTAGGAAGAACTTTTTTGACAGTCAGAGTCATGCAGCAGTGGAATGGGCTGCCTGGGGAGGTGGGTGAGCTCCCCCTCCCTGGCCGTCTTCAAGCGGCATCGGGACAAACCCTCATCAGGGATGCTCTAGGCCAGTGATGGCGAACCTTTTAGAGACCGTGTGCCCAAACTGTGACCCAAAACCCACTTTATTTATCGCAGAGTGCCAACACGGCATTTTAACCTGAATACTGAGGTTCTACTTTAGAAAAAACAACTCATACATTAACTTAAGATGATCCAAACAAAGGCCCCTGCCACACGGCAAGGGAAAAGCCTCTTAAGGCGCGGCTTTTAAAAGCCGCGCCAACGTTGACACGGCGCGGCGGGATCCCACGGATACCCCGGCCGAGCTGCCTTTTCTCCCCGGCGCGATCAAAAGCCGGGGAGAAAACACGGCCCTAACCGGGAGCCGGCCGAACTGCGCATGTCGGAGCATGCGCAGTTTGGCTCCGGCCCGGGGTTGTGCCGGCGCAAGGACGCGCCGGCGATCAAACGCCCGGGTAGAAGCGCCGTGTCCACTTGAACCACCGAGGTAGGTGGTTCAGTTTGAGGCACAGTTTCCCGGGAAAGGGCCAGTTCGGGGACGGAATCACGGCGCTTTACAGATGTTGTGGTGTGATCGCGCCGGTTTGACCCGCCCCCGAACTGTCCCGCTCCCAGGCAAAATCGCCTCGTGTGAACGGGACCAAAGTAAGGAAAGCAATCCCAAATGCTTTCATTTGCTTAAAACTATTTGGCAGAGAATTCGAGACTTTAATGACAGTCTGGGCCTGGCTGGGGCGATGGCACGCGTGCCCACAGAGAGGGCTCTGAGTGCCACCTCTGGCACCCGTGCCGTAGGTTTGCCACCACTGCTCTCGGCTGATCCTGCATTGAGCAGGGGGCTGGACTAGATGGCCTCTATTGAGACCTTCCAGGTCTGTGTCCTCAAGGACTGTTCCCTTCCTGCCAGTCCCAGGTGGCAGATCACACAGCAAGCTGTGCGGGTGACGGCTGGATCGGGGACCTCCTCCGCCCCAACCTGCAGGCAAGGGCAAACCACCTCTGAATGTCTCTTGCCTTGGAAACCCTACAGAGTGGCTGTAAGACACTGCGACTCGACAGCCCTCTCCGCCGCCAGACCTCCCAACCGGAGCCGCCGGGGACTCAACCTGAAACCTCCTGCCTACAGAGTAGGCGCTTCGCCGCCAGGTGGGATCCAGACTGAATTTTACGCTAACGGAAGGGGAAGTGTAATGTCTGCCTGTTCCCCGTCCCTAGAAACAAGAACTGAGAAAACAGTCGTGAGAGCAGTGTTCCCTCCAAGCTGAGTTAGTGTGAGCCAGCTCACAGTTTTTTTAGCCTCCGGCTCACACATTTTTGTCTTTGGTGTAGTGGTTAAGCGCACGGACTCTCATCTGGGAGAACTGGGTTTGATTCCCCACTCCTCCACTTGCACCTGGCTGGATGACCTTGGGCAAGCCGTAGCTCTGAAAAGAGCTGTCCTTGAAAAAGAGCTGTTTCTGTCAAGAGCTCTCTCAGCTCCACCCACCTCACAGGGTGTCTGTTGTGGGGAGGGGAAGGGAAAGGAGATTGTAAGCCGCTCTAAAAGCCAGTTTGGTGTCGTGGTTAAGTGTGCGGACTCTAATCTGGGAGAACCGGGTTTGATTCCCCACTCCTCCACTTGCACCTGGCTGGATGACCTTGGGCAAGCCGTAGTTCTGATAAAAGCTGTCCTTGAAAAAGAGCCATTTCTGTCAAGAGCTTTCTCAGCCCCACCGACCTCACAGGGGTGTCTGTTGTTGGGAGGGGAAGGGAAAGGAGTTTGTAAGCCGCTCTGAGACACCTTTGGGTAGTGAAGGGCCATGGGGTATAAATCCAATCTCCTCTTCCTCCTCCTCCAGTCTCAGTGCACTTTCCAACTGGATTCTACACCAAACTGGACTGAAAGGGGATAATTCAGTGTGCGTTGGTCAACGCTTGGAAGTTCGACTGCCTGGCATAGGCCAGTTCCTGGCAAAGGCCATCGCTCGGGGCGGCACGTCCCTCTCCGCAAGACAGTCCGGGCGCAAACCCGCCTCTGCACCCTCGTCTGTGCGGCTTCCTGCTCACGCATCTGGAACCGCTTCGGGACTTTGCAGGAACGAGTTCCGGGCAGATGCCACTTTGGCACCAGAGCGCTAAGATGGGAGGGAGAAACAGGGGAAGGGGGGGGGAAATCTGTCAATCTTCCCCATTTTTTTTTTAATGCCGGCCTGGCCCAGCGCTCTGCCACCCAGAGCCAGCTGCCAGGTAGGCAGCTCCCGTGGGGGTGGAGGCTGGGGAGAATTGGAACAGATGGGGGATAATTTTAGCCATCCGGGGAGGCTGAGCAGCGAGACCGAGAGGGGAGAAGCTCTGCCTGCAGTCGCTTGTTTGGGTGGCCAGGCGAGCTCACTTCCTGGGGCTCCACGCCTCCGCTTGCGACGGACGTGGCGGCGCCCTGGCAGCAAAACCAACGTCTGTCTCAGCTCTGAGAGGACTCTGGTTTTTCCCTCCGGAGCCCCGGGTTCCTTGCCAGCAAGAACAGCGCCAAGAGGGTGCCCAGAGAGAGCAGGGAGTCACTCCAGGGCTGCCGGGGGCTAGAGGAACCCTCCCCGTCCTTACCGGCACTGGCGTACTCCATCACCAGGTAGAGGGTCTTCTCTGTTTCGATCACCTCAAAGAGTTTCACTGCAACAGGGACACGACACGTTTATTTATTTATCTATTTAATTTGTTAATCGCCCGACCCCTGCTCGTGCGGGGCTCTGGGTGATGCACAACATTCATAAAAGCGTTATCGAGATAAAACAATTAAAACATTAATAATGCATTTCAAACAGATCGGATGGCGTGTGTACTAATTTATTCAGTTTCAGACTGCCGCCTTATACCTGGTCAGACCCTCTTGTCCACCCAGACTGGCGGCCGCTCTCCAGGGTCTCAGGCAGAGAGAGGTCTTTGCTATCCCCCCCCCGGTCCTTTTTAACTGGAGATGCCGGGGACTGAACCTGGATCCTTCTGCATGCCGAGCAGAGTCTCTGCCACTGAGCCACGGCCCCTCTTTACAGCTCTCCAGGGTCTCAGGCAGAGGTCTTTCCCGTCACCTCCTGGAGATGCTGGGGACTGAACCGGGGACCTTCTGCATGCCAGGCAGAGGCTCTGCCACTGAGCCACGGCCCCTCTTTACAGCTCTCCAGGGTCTAAGCGGAGGTCTTTCCCATCACCTCCCGCCTGGTCGTTTTCAACTGGAGATGCTGGGGACTGAACCCGGGACCTTCTGCCTGCCAAGCAGAGACTCTTCCACTGAGCCACAGCCCCTCTTGACAGCTCTCCAGGGTCTCAGGCAGAAAAGGGTCTTTCACATCACCTCCTGCCTGGTCGTTTTCAACTGGAGATGTTGCTGGGGACTGAACCTGGGACCTCCTGCATGTCAAGCAGAGGCTCTTCCACTGAGCCACAGCCGGTCTTTACAGCTCTCCAGGGTCTCAGGCGGAGGGCCTTCACTTCACCTAGGACCTGGTCCTTTATTAAGTGGAGATGCTGGGGACTGAACCTGGGGCCTTCTGCAGCCAAGCAGATGCCCTCCGACTGAGCCATAGGCCCTCCCCAAACATGAACACACATGAAGCTGCCTTATTCTGAATCTGACCCTCAGTCCTTCGAAGTCAGTATTGTTTACTCCGAATGGCAGCGGCTCTCCAAGGTCTCAGGCAGAGAGAGGTCTTTCCCATCACCTCCTGCCTGGTCCTTTGCAACTGGAGATGGCGGGGATCGAACCTGGGACCTTCTGCATGCCTAGCAGACGCTCTGCCACTGAGCCACAGCTCCAATTCATGGCTCTCCAAGGTCTCAGGCGGAGGCCTTTCCCATCACCTCCTGCCTGGCCCTTTTAACTGGAGATGCCGGGGATCGAACCTGGGACCTTCCGCATGCCAAGCAGACTCTCTGCCACTGAACCACAGCCTCACTTTATGGCCCTCCAGGATCTCAGGTGGAGGTCTTTCCCATCACCTGCTGCCTGGTCCTTTTAACTGAAGACGCCGGGGATCAAACCTTGGACCTTCCGCATGCCGAGCGGATGCTCTGCCACTGAGGCACGGGCCCTCTTGGTTCTTTCAGTCCCCAAAAGGCCTTTGCACAGGCTTTCCACACCCTGCCAGCTCGAGGGAACGGCAGCTGCCTTTGAGAAGGCAGCCTCCCACCAGCAGGAATTCGGCCGCATTCACAGGGCCTCCTCGGCCAGCCTGAATGTGCTCAGTGCAAACAAAAAAGCCAGATTGTGACCAGAATAAATCGTGCCAATTAAGCCGGGCTTGCTTGTTTTGCACAGCTACTTCCTGGAGTCGTGGGGCCGGGGGGGGGGGGGGGGGGGGGGGGGGGGGAGGGAAGAGAGATCACACAGCTCTGCTATAAGACCAACTCCGAGCCTGCCCCTCCACCCTGCTCCCCATACGCCCTGCATTTCTAGCAGCCGTTATGCAGTGGCTTGCAATATATTTTTATATCTCTGTCCCTCTTCTTCCTCAGACGACATGGGGATTTCTCCCACTTTGATCTGCACAACAGTCTTGTGAAGCAGGGTAGGTTGACAGTGTCATTGTCATGGCCGGGGAAAGGGGGGAGGATTGGAACTCGGGTCTCTCTGTGGCCCGCATCTGATGCTCTGTTTGTGACACTACACTGGATTATTACAAGCGCTTTTTTTCCTTTTTTTTTTTGCAGGCACGAGAGGTAGAAACCCGGGGAACGAACGAAGGCCAAGACGCTCAGAGGCAGACTTTTTAGTGCCAAGCTCTTGACATTCGTGGTGCCGCTGTGGGACTGTGGGACGCGCACTGTCCCTCCCTTGGGGCAAAGATGTTCTTGTCTCTTCCGCTCCCACCTGGCTCTGCTGACAAGCCACCCACAGCGGGATGGGACAGAGGTTTCCGCTCCAGGCCTCCTTACCGATATTGGGGTGATTCAAACCCTTCATAATTCTCACTTCCCGGAAGAGCTGCGAAGAGAAAAAAGCGAGATTTAAAAAAAGGGGGGAAATCAAGACCTTCTCCTCCCTGTTGGCTGTCTAAGGGTCGGGGCCTGCGGGCTGCTCCCCCTCCCGGGGCATGCTGTGGACGGGCCCTGCGGGGGCACATGCAGAGAAGGAACGCGGTGGAATCGGAGCAACTGTGGAAAAGGCCCCGAGACAGGAATCGCCGTTTCCCCCTGCTCTAAAACATTCCACATATCCGAGTGGGGCCACTGCGTTACTCCGTTACAGCAAATGACGTGTCCTGTGGCGAAGGCGAACCTCATGGCAAGAGCTTTCTGGGGTAACACTGAGGCCTAAGCGGTGTAGCGGCTTGCCAGCCCCTGCAGCCTGTGGCTTGGCTCGCTTGCTGGAGCCGCGCACGGCTTTTTGCTGACACGCTTTCCCTCGAGAAGGCCCTTGCCCCCCCTCCTTGCAGAAGGTTATTTGATGGGGGGGATTTGGCAAGGGGAAGGGGCTGTCCAGCTGCCCAGTCCATGCCCACCCGAAGACCCCAACCATTATTACTTCCAATATGCACAGCCGTCGCTCGGTCTGCTGGCGACAGATGGGGATGGGAGAGCACACATTTCAACAGGGGGGGGGGAAGAAGAGGTGAAACTGGAGGGTGGCGCTTCCCCCCCCCCAAGGAAGACGGGCAAATCGGCAACCGGGATCCAAGCTCTCCCCCCTCCTGTCGGGGAAATGACTAATTTCGGATGGGGGGGAGCGTCACAATCCATTCGTTCTCCCCCCC